AGCACATCGCCATCTGCAATCTTGCCTAAGCAGATAAGCCTCACGAAATGTGTATATATGCTGTGCCATGGGCCAGTGGTATTACCAGTGTGACACTTGCTACTGTTGCTGTTAATGCTTCTTATCGTTTCCTACCCTTAGCTGTGCCAAGGTTCGGACAATCGCCGACTGCAGCGATTATCGTCTGCAGTGCGTAAAGTGTCGACAGCAACCGCGCCATGTCTGCGGGCCGAAACCGCCTTGCCTGAGCGATGTCAGTACAAGAGCAGCAGGGGAGTGAAGGCAGATGGGAGATTGTGTGAAGTTTCAGCACTGCTATTCACACGATTATTGTTGCTACTGGTGCTGCTCTTACCACTATGACTACAACTACTCCTGTGGTTGTTATTTTAACCACTATGACAACTAGTATCGTCACTGTGGGTACCGTTGTTACCGAAATTTACTACTACTTCATTGCCAATATCACTGTTATGTTTACGTTTTTGTATGCGTCCCTAGTGTTTATTGTTCTTCTTACTACTATTCCTTCATGCCATTTTCGGTGTTATTTACTACTGAAGCTTTTTATTGTTCCTACTATCCCCGGCCCCCAATATTACGGAACAATATTACCGTCGGTTCAACACATTCTGGTGAAACTTTTGTCACTATTGTCACTGTTGCTGTGCTTACTTGTGTTGCTATATCTTACTTTCGTTACAGGGAATACTTCTACTTTAACTCATGTTCTCACAACAACTACTACCGTTCAAGCTGTTACAGTGACTGTGCATTACGATAATTAGCTTGTGTGATACTGTATTATGAATTGCTGCACTCATTCTCCTACTATTGCTACTCTTGCTAATGCTAATTGCATTGCGAAGCTTAGCACTTTTGACAGCTCTTCTTACCATGACTCTCATTAGTGTCATTACTCTTGCTACTACTGTCGCCAGTTTCTCCGTTGTTACTACTGGTATTCCTAGCATTGTGATCAACTCTTTGCCACCACCCTATTATTGCGAACCGAATAGGAAGTTCGAGTACTTACTAATCGAACGGAACAACAAACTACCACTACCACTACTACGGCCATGACCACCACCACAACCATTACCATTCGTAGTGCTACACAGCCGTAGCGAATATGCGTACAATCATCAAACCGCCCAATTATAATCCATGTCAAGAACTGATGAGCTCCTTTCCACGAAGACGCCATGCATTACAGGAGTGCGAACATAATACAGGTTTGACGTGACAGTTGCCGTAATGGTCAGCCACATCTCGCAGACCCGGATGGATGCTTTTGAATCGTGAGCTGTCTAATTTGCAAGGCTGGGTGGACCGTCGGGCCCCGGCGACAAACATCAAGCAAAAACATGTGTTGGCAGAACAGCAGCAACAAATTAAAAGACAACAGAGACGACGGACAAAAGATTTTAAGTTTAAGCTGGTAAGTAAACAGGATCTGTCAAGTGCCAGTGTGATCAGCTTCCCCTCTTTTGCCATCAAGCACAGGGTGCCAGCGTACCATGGCCTGCCCACGCGCAAACGGCAAAACCCACAAAACATGATGCGCAACTGAACGATCTCTTTTTCAGGCGTTCTGCAGACGCTCGTTGCTCACCCCAGCTGAGCGAAGCAAACTTCGGACCTGAGTGTCCGCAGCTAGATTCAGCTGCACAACCCTTGGATTGCTTCAAAGCAGCTATGCAAACACTCTGCTGGAGAAACAACTCCAAAAGCAACACTAGTATACTAAGGTGCTGACAAACTGCTGCTTGGATTGCTGCGACGGACCACACACCCAGAGTCGTCGACAACGATGACGACGTCCTTGTTCCTGGCACGGTTGTGGCACATAAATCCCTCCAAAGCCATTCCGGCCAGAAGCTGGCTCCACTGCTTCCTCGACAGGACAGGAAGCCCAAAAGCAGCAAACGAAGGAGACCAAAGAGATCGGGGTTTAGGTCTCGTGGCCTCAGTACTCCGTCCTCCGGAATGCGCCTGGGCCGTGGGAGAAGAACATCGACCAATGCCTCTGCATCGATGGCTGAAAAAGCAACATGCGTCACATTCGTGGGTACAGTCCCAGCCACGGCAAAAATGTATTTCGCTATAGGCTATAAGCGGCTCCAGTTTTGCGCGCAGCGCTCGAGATGTTACGCCCAGGACCTTAGTAGGATAAGCCACCAGGTCACCAGGCCAACTCCATCCATCCGAGTCCGGGGTTTGGAATCGAGCTGCAAGCGGCCGTCAGAAAACTTCACCACCAGGCCATGGGGCTTCCTTTCAATGCCGCGTCCTCGAACTCCCTTCTGGCAGTATTCGGCGTCCACACCCCGGTCTCCATCGGAAGTCAAACTCCGGTAGTTGAGGTGTTTCCACCCCCGGCAGGCGATCCAGTCGGGGGAAAGGAAAAAGAAAACGGTCGTCGCCTGCAACAGCAGCAACAGCAGCGTCTCTCGCGCACGGAGAGACCAGGCGAGGAGGAAGACCATGACCAGCAAGGTGAGGGCGAGAGGGTACAGAAGAGCTGCCGCTCCGTCCAGCACGTCGGCTTTTTAATTTAAGCAAGCAACATGGGACGTTGGACGCGACAAACCCAAAGTAACACGAAACACAGACACAAAAATGCAGAAAATGTTACATATCCTTCGGTCCACTCACAAAGAAGCTCTCATACTATCTGCTTCGTGCTGCTCTAATGCACTGTGCGACAGGGCGATTTCTTTCGCTCAAACCGTTTTGGGCGCGTGGCCTTCCGAGGTTAATCTCCGGAAGACTGTTGCAAAACAACCCCAACACGGCTACTGCCAAAACAATCGCAGCTCCTACTCCGCCCCTCATACTTACAAAAAACCTGCAGCGCACACAATGAAGCCAAACAAACGTTCGATCAGAAACCTCGACACCATACCCACCGCTGACCCGCACCAAGGAACTCTCAAATCGCGAAAGGGCAATCGAGTCTACGCGGGACTTGCACGATGGCACGAGACGTGTCTTTGGTCTTGAGCCGCAAAACCTTGCGAAGGTGCGGCAGAAGCAATCAGAGATCAGATCCAAGCTCCGGGATGTGGCTTGCCACTGGAATTTAGATGCCTATCAGTGTATCGTATCAAGATGACAAAACCTTTATGTTAGTGCTGCTACCTGCACATATACCATATACCATACCGCGGTTTTCTAACTAGTTCAATCAAAAACTGGCGGACATCCTCAACCGCAAGCCCTACACCCTCAACCCTAGACCGACCTTGCGCATGAATCATATAGTTCAGTACAGTACAGTATAGTATCGTATATAGTAGCATATGGTATAGTATAGTGTAGTACAGCACAGTATAGTAGTCAAGTAGTACAGTATAAATACAGCCTCCACGTGTATCTTTCATAAGCAGCCCTACCCAGAAGTGGCTCACAGCTTTCCCATAACATTGGCTTCGAAATGTCTGTTGGGTCTGTTGGGTGGCGGCACTTGTGATGTCGAAACCTAAACCCTATGTAAGCCCTAAACCCTGCATGTCTGCATCCCAACCCAGGTAAACACTTTCGGAACCACCCCAACTGTCCGGGAATATTAGGAGGGGATCACTGGAATTGCAGACCGCGGACGGCAACAAATTATACTCTTTCCTCGCGGCGCCTGAATCTAAAGTGTCAGAGCTCGGGTGTTTTTTGTAACCCCAACCCCGTAACCCCCAACCCCCCCAACCCCCCAAATCCCAACCCCCAAATCCCAACCCCCCAAACCCCCCAACACTCCCCCCATGAGATGTAACCTGGGCGTGTGGACCTTGGCAAAGGTACAGGCCTACAGGCATGCAGGAGTCTCGTTTCTACAGGCTCACAGCTGTAGTCGATACTCTGCTAGGACTTTGAGCAGCAAGCATGGGTACATGCATGACACGTGAAACAGACAGGCACCTGGATGTGTAACATTCAGTCTTTCACCCAAACCCTCCAAACCCCAAACCCGCTCAGCCCAAATCAGAGAAAACACAAGACTTTCATGCTCTGGCCACGTCAGGTTCCGAAGGTTCAGAAACAAGAGCTTCCCCCCCAAGAGCTCCGCTTTGGGCCGAGACTTGGGCTTGGGGTATAAGGTACACGGTAGAGGGTTTAAAGTTTAGGGCATCGAGAAAGGATGCAGAAACCATCCTGCGCCCGGAAAGTGTTGGAAACGCACCGCTTGGTAGGGTATAGTTTTCGGGCGCTTACAACCCAAGCCTAGGTATAACCGATCTAGGTATAACCGATCTAGGACTATCTAGGGGATTCATACCTGATTGGAAGATTGTGCAAAGTTGACAACCCAAGTGTTCGGGGTTTGGGGTTTGGGCGGGTTGGGGTCTTTCGAATGACTTGAGGGGTTGGTGGTGGGCGGGCGGTATGACACAGGGTTCGAGATTTGACAAACGAACCACCCGCTGCTACATTGGGTTCGCCCATCCTTGAGTTGAATGGTCGGGTGGCGTTGCTGGTTCAGGTTTTGTCAGCTACCGTACAGCAGTTTTCTGATTGCTCGGTTTGGAATCCGTTTGGTGTCGTTTCCTGGAGAGACGCCGCAAGCACTAAGAGAGTTCCAATGCAGCTGAGTGTCTTCTCAAAAAAACAAACGACGGACAGAGTAAGCAAACGTCGCAGTCATAATCGTAAGTCACACAACACAAGCCAAACTCCCCACAAACCCTGTAAACGAACATCGGGAAGATGCGCAGCTGCTCTTGCGGCCGATAAGAAGGCCTACAGAAACCTGAGCCAGTTTGGTTGAAAGCACAAGACTGCTGAACTGAAAGGCCGAGTTGTTCTCCTCAGAGGAGGAAGACTTTAAGGTTTCAACGGCCATGGGGATTCTGAAGGCTGGAAAGACGCGAGAGTGGGTTTTCACTGGCGTTTCGGCTCAGCCTTGAAGTCCATGCGCCTTTAAGCCCCAAGTCCCTCCAGTGGCTTGGAACCCCACAGCCTTTTTCCTTCACGCTATCTGCGAGTTCCAAGCGCGAGTTTCTCTAGCGCTTCCGGGAAGAGATGATGCGGTACATCCTCGGCTTGGAAAGGTACGTGCAGGATTTGCATGTGCCAACCACAATGTTCTGTGCAATGCTATGCTGAAGCAGCCTAGCAGTCGTCGTCGTAGGAAAGGCTAAAACCCTAGCCTTAGCCCTAATAATAGCCGTAGTAGTAGTAGTCGGAATAGTAGTAGTGGTAGGAGTAGGAGTAGGAGTAGGAGTAGGACTAGGAGTAGGAGTAGGAGTAGGAGTAGGAGTAGGAGTCGGAGTCGGAGTCGGAGTCGGAGTGGGAGTGGGAGTGGGAGTGGGAGGCGGAGGAGTAGGAGGAGTAGGAGGAGTAGGAGGAGTAGGAGGAGTAGGAGGAGTAGGAGGAGTAGGAGGAGTAGGAGGAGTAGGAGGAGTAGGAGTAGGAGGAGTGGGAGGCGGAGGAGTGGGAGGAGTAGGAGTAGGAGGAGTAGGAGTAGGAGTAGGAGAACGAGAAGGAGAAGGAGTAGGAGTAGGAGTTGTAATAGTCACAATACGAATAGTAGTAATACACAAGAGGGCGGAATCGCTCATGCTAACCTCATCTAGACCAAACAACCCCAACCCTGAACCTTAAAGCCTAAAGCATGGAAAACCTGAACAATGCCCGAGGTTCTTGTGGATGCCGAAAAAGCCGGCCAGGGTCACCAGCAGCCTCATTTATCAAGAAGAGCCATGTACATCTCCAACCACTTAAGCCTCTAGAGCCCCAACAAACCCAGAAACATCCGCTAAACCCGAAGCCCTATCAGAAAGAGACAGTCAACACAAGCTTCAAAACTTGGAACAGAACCCTAACCCTAAACCGCCTAAACCCCAATAAGCCCGTGTCAAAGTCCGGGCAGCTGCACGGAGGCATAGCCGTTCCGGCCCAACCAGGGGAGGAGTCCTCGAGCCTGAGCTTAGGGACTCTTAGGTACATTCAAGAAGCTCTATACGATACTATTCCTTTACTGTACGCAATCTAGTAGCCTCTACTATACCATACTGACAATATACGAAATAGGATTCAAGGGATTTTGCAGTGGGGTTCAGGGGCGAGTCCGGGGGGGGTTTCAGGGTTTACTAAAAGTCTGGCGTTCAAAGTTCCGGGCCCCGAGCTTCGGGTGTTGAAGTGTTGGTTTTGAACTCGAAGCGCCAGTCCGCGAAAACCCCTACTAAGCCCCCTCAAACTGTCCTTGCTCCGTCTTTTCAAGGCCAAGGTGCCTTTCTTGGTCTTTAAGGGGGTCTGTGGGCCCGGGCCCTCCTAGGCCCCGCTGAAGTGGCGCCATGGCGCGATGGGTGCGGCAATGACCTTGGCCACGGCCATGCTCAGCATCTTCCTCGGCTCCGGACTGGGAAAAAACAGTCTTGCGCTATTTTTATGGCAATATTATAGGATTGGTACTAGTAGCAAGTGATAGCATTCGTCAGGCTCTTGGCGTTCCACGGCTGCAGCGCCCAAGGATCCAGGCCCAGACCCCAAATCCAGGCCCAGCCCCAAATCCAGGCCCAGGCTCGACCCAGACCCAGATGCCTCAAAATCCATGCCCAAGCCCTGGAATGCCCAAATCCAGGCTCCAGACCCAAACCCAGGCCCAGCCAGGGCTCAGCCCCAAAGCTCCCAAATCCAGGCAGGCCATGGATCCAAACCCACGTTCGGCCACCAACCATATGAGTCTCTGAAGCCTGTGGAAACGCCTGCACGCATCCCCAAGAAGAAGCCCCTATATAGACCCCCTCAATAACTCTTGGGACCCGGGCTGGTTGATGAAGGCCTGTCGGCTGTATCCCTCTTCACCTTCGGGAGCTTCAGGATCAGCGGAAATTGACAGGGAAAAGCTCTCCTACGTCATACGGCGTATGGGCCTCAAGAAGCTTGCACCTTTCCGGCGTCAGACCTCCTCATCCCCTTAGAAACGCTACAGTCTGCTTGCCGCCGCCATTCTGAAGTCACGCAAAACGCGGAATTTCCCTACATCTGACATGGTGGAAATGATGTGGGGGTTCTGTGATGTTAGAAGCCCTACACTCAAGCGCCCCCGGGAAATTGGCTTATCACGTCCCGCTTTTCACGGAAATCCCCACCTGTTGCAGAGAGGATGCAGAGGCCATCCGAAATTCCGTTGGCTGCCATGGTCATGGTCATCATCCTCGGCAAAGTGACCCTAGACTCCCATAAACTCCTCTAAACTCTAAGGGCCAAAGCCCAAGAACATCGCCTTCCATTCCAAGGAATGCAAGAACCCAGAAAACCCGCAACATCCAGGGCGTGAGCAAGAATGATAGCATTCGTACAATTGAGATACAACTAATGAAGAATACCGTAGTTTCACAATCTTAATGACTTAGCGACAACAAGCTTGTTCGTAAAAGCTTGTTCGTAACTTTGCAGAATGATACAATCAAGGCTCAAAGAAAGCAATGGAATTCTGGAAGTAGAGACATCAACATAAGCACTGACCGACCAGGGACACTCTGCACGTGCTTGGGATTTAGGGGTCACAAACTCCGGTGCTCGTCTCTGAAACTCTACGTTACATATGGCTAACCAATTGTGCAATTCATGCCTTGGCGGCTGTCTGTATTCCTGTTCTCGACATACCGCTCTACTAACCCTACTAAATCCTTTAAACCTTGTAAACCCTAAACCCGAAATGCGAAGCCCTCCCCCATCAGCCACTGCTAAGCATCAGCGTGTCGGCCACGTACAACGACCACCAGGGCCAGAAGTTCATCCTGTGCTTGACAGGTCCGAAAGCGCTTACTACCTAGAGTATAGATACAGTTCCTGTCCATGCCCTCAGCCCTCAGGCCTTCACCTGAAGGAAACTAAAGATCACCGAAAAATAAGAAGAATAGTACATATTAGTATATGTTCACATATATATATATATATATTCATATACTAGATATTACGAAAGAATGTGGTATGATTATGCAATGTATATAACAGTTCAGTATAATCATGTACGAATTGAGAGCAAAGCTTCAGGAATGGAGCTGTCGCGACGCCCACGAAGGCAAAACCAAGCATCAGCATGGCGCCTGAGGAATCAGGCTTCAGACCGATCTGTTCTAAAAGCGTTCCATCCCACAACGCTTTCAACTTTGATTAGGGGCTTTGTATCAGAATGTGGCTTTAGGGATTCTAGTCTCAGTTCTTAGCCCCCATCATCATTTCCTGCTGAACCGTCTCAAAAACCGTCCTGAAGCTGAATCCTGAGGCCTCAAAAACGCAGACCAAAGGGTTTTGCGGCATTAGGGCCTGGTCTAGTAAGTTTTAAGGTATGCCTCTATCCGACGTAAAGCACGAACTCAAGAACAACTCGAGGCAGTGCAAAGAACCAAGACAAAGTTCAGGGCATTGGATTTCAGGTGTAGGGTAGAAAATGCTATAGTACGCTATACTATACTACATGGTACACAATACCAATACTATAGCTTACTGCTTGGTGTATTATAGAACCTGAAGCCCCAACGGACCTTTCCACCCTCCGCCCAGGGTCCGAAAAACAAAGCTCTGAAAAGCGCGTTTACAGCGCTGGGTCTGACCTTGTACAACCTAGTTATATACTGTAGTAGACTTTATAGTCGTTTACAGTCTAGTACAAACTGTTGTACACTACATACTGCAGTATGAAGCTAGACTATACTATTTGGATCCTCGAGGCCCCGGAGCTTCATCCCAAAACCCGCAGAGAAACTTCGCACCCGAGCTGCGGAAGTCCACATCTGGGGAAGTGCACACGACGATTATGTTGGCCAGAAATGATCCTCAAAATTTGGGGAGGGGGGGTTTTTGGTTTAGGGTTTAGGATCTTTGTTGGGGGCGAGCGGGGGTGTTTTAGAAACGTTGTACAATGGTGCAAAGAAGTTTCTGCAACATTCTGCTTGTGCGTTCGGGGTTCCGACATGTGTTTTTTTGAATCTGGCTTTCAAACTGGAACCCCTGAACCCCACAAGGCTTGTTCTACGGTTTGGGAAAGGCATGGTGCATAGGGCTGTTTTGTCTAGACCCAAAGGTTCAAAGGTTCCTAACGGGCCAACTTGCTCTTGTAAGGATCGAAAAAGGCATTGCTGGTCAAAACTGGTCTTGATGTCCTTTTCCTGTGTCTGCTCCTGACGCACGTCAAGTTCAAAGGTGCTTTGAGTCACAGACGTGTGCTTGGCCTGGACATTCACTTCGCACAAAGCCATGCTGTTCCTCAATAACATAACAAAAGCTCCACAGGCCGCTTGCAACACCATCCCAAACCATCTCAGGGGCTAGTAGAACCTTGGCAACTCACATTAAGACCGATAACGACCTCATCAAACGACATCGCCAATAGCGGCATCTGAAAGACTCTGAAATCCAACAACGCCAGGTAAGCCATATGAAATGGAAAAGGCACTTGTGGACCCGAACACAGCCAGGTTAAAGCTACATAGACCCTGTATGCAGAGTTGGGGGAGGAGGCTGCCACTCCTCCATACACACATGCCAAACGAAACCACTAGGATTTGCTCAAGACAAACACCGGGCATTCGGAGGAGAGAAGCCCCCCCCTTCACCTGAGAACCTAACCCGCCTAGATATGCCGCTACATCATGTCCGAGCCTGCTGCGATGGCACCGAAGATCCATCCGGTGATGAGGGGCGTGAAGCCGAACTCCACCTGTGCACGGCTTCTCAAAACTTCTGGGTTTAACTCGAAGGGTTCACCAGAGCTTGTAGACAATGGCCATGGATCCTCTGTCACTATGGTTTCATTGGTGAAAGTTTCTCGACACACAGCGTAGACCCTCCCCTTCCCGCCTCAACCCACAGCGCCCTGCAGTGCCCTACAACACTGCGCCTGGGAGATCATGGTGGTCGCTACTTCGATGGAGGCCACGGAGAAGGTCCGCTCAAAATTGTAGACGATCCCTGCCTCGGGGTTGTCTCAAGGCGCAGCTCAGTTAGGGAATCTGCGACAGTACGGAGACGCTAGGCTTTCGGGTTCAGGGCCCTGTAGGCCAGCACTTTCAACGCGCCTTCACAAAACCCCACGTAAGATCAACAAACACTGCCTAAGAAGGGTTTGATCTCCCACCAGACTCGCGAGTACCAGCCGGACCCAGTGAGACAAAGTTGGGTCCAGTCCAAACGGTCTAGGGTTGATGATAACTGTTGGAGTTGGGGTTGTTTGCTTTCAAGGCTTCGCGGTCTGTACCGCTGTAGAGGCGCAGGTTCCATAATCAGGCTGTTTTCTGAAGCCTGACTACAAAGGCCCCGAACCCAGAGCCTGAAAGCTCAGATGATCCTGAACTTGAAGCTCTTGAAGCCCTTTCCCCCAAACCGTATGCACATACCCTAAACTGGCTGCAGATTTCGTGTTCCCGAAGGCCGTGGAACCTGTGACAATCCCACACAGCCCGGCTGCACGAAAGAGAGCGGCACGATCCGACCCCACAAGGCTCGCCTTGAGTTCCCATTGGAACAAAATGACGGGATGAGCCAGGGCTTATAAACCCTAAATCCTACGCAATAAACCCTTAGGGCTGACAGTTTGAGGTTTTGGGCCTAGGCTTGCGCTGAGGCCACGCCTGGTGGGGGGGCGGGTGCGACCTCAACAAAAACGAGTTCATATTAAATTATTGGGGCAAAGATGCCCGGCAGTTGATTTCGAAGGAGGGCCAAACGAAGTATTCTTACGACACCCGGAAGACTCGACCTAATAGAGGATCCCACGGGCACCCCCAAACAGTCATGCGGTCCTGAACAAACCGCAAAGTTGACTTTGTAGGAGGGCCTACTAAACAGGGTGCAACGCTTAGGATGCTTAGGGCTTCTGGCACTCTCGGGGAAAGTGCGTGGGGCACTGCTGTCATCCAAGCCTTGGGTATGTTTAGTATAACCCATAGCATCAACTGCATTCGACACTCTTCCATGCTACCGTGTAATGATGTATAAGCTAGTCTGATCGCGAATCGTATGTGTATAGTTTAGCATGGTAGAGCATGCTGGAGTACAGTACACTATAGTTTACCATACTGTAATCCTTAGTAGAGTTTGGGACAGAACAGTACCCTGTAGCGTAGTGAAGCATCACACCAACGTGATGGAAGATGGCCAAACCCGAAAAAATTGGGCATGACTGCAACGCACAAACCTCCCGAGCAGGACTGTTGACCAAAGGCATGTGTTCATAGGACTGAGAAGTCTTCTGTCGTGAAGTCTTCTGTCGTAGGCTAAACTTTGAACCGCAAGGAACTGCAAAATTTACGATCGTTTATACTATATGGTATGCTAGACTGTATACTCTATGGTATGAGGTGGGTTATGGCTAAGTCTCCCGAGCTCTATTTAATCCATGCCCGAAGACGTCCCAAGTTCCACTACAGACTCCTGTCGTCCGCACGCAGACCCCCCCAACGAAACAAAAGTTTTATCTCAACTCCAAAAACACGTTTACCACCAGCTACGCAACAGCGATAAACATCTGAGCTCGCAAAACCTGAGAGCCTGATCATCAAGCATATGACAGACCAGACTCAAACAAAGAAAGGCACAACACACCACAAAAGAGCTTCTACGTCTCCAGTTCAGTCGCGAGCACGTCGTTCTTGGGGCTAAGAGGGGCCTCCTTCTCCTCCTGAGGGGGGTGGCAACTTGTGCAGTTGAAAAATATTATAACTTTAAAGCTACAGGAGCTGTCCAGGGCATGGGTCTCTTTGCCATTAAAAGATTGACCAACTTTACGATTATGCTTGCATGCTTCGTTGTGGCGCTTGCTGCTGAACTGCGTTAAGCTTAAGACCACCGAACACCTGCTGCTCTTCGCTTCCTCAGTTCGATCGTGAACTTGAAGTTCTACAGCGTCGTATACCTAGACGAGAGGGATGGAAGGTTTTGGGGTGCCGGCTTGTGGGCTTGGGTGGTAGTTTCTATCAAGCTTCGTTGAAGGATTCCAGAGTCTGCTGCGAGGCGCTTCATTCCTCTTTCTTTGCCCAGCTTCGGGCGCAGACTCCACAGACTCCCGCGGCACCAGGAGAACCAGAATAGCTAGCAAGAAGAGCAGCATCAGGACAAACAGCATCACGGGCGCCTCTGTCTACACAACATGCTTTTTTGTGCCGCTCTGGGCTTTGTGGATGTTCTGTCCCCATGCAGAACCTATAAGGTTTCCTTGCCTTACCAGTAGCAGGCTTAGCTCACACAATAAAGCAACATCATCAGCACTGCCTTCGTGGTTCATTGTATCTGTCAGCACACAAGAATTCAGTAACATAATTGGTGTTTATTGGGGTTTCGAGTTTTGGAGTTGGGCTAACATGATATGCAAAAGAGCCCCAGAATCCCAAACTACACCCTTAAAAAGCTTTTCCCCCCGCCCCCAAAGCCCCAAACACAGAAACCCCCCCCCCCCCCCCCGCCACCCCCTCCCAACCCCCCACCCTGTAGATCCATGCAAAGGCACCGCCCCAGCTTCCAAAGCTTCCTCGGTCTTCTCGCTGCCTGTGAGGTGCACGAGAACCTGAGCGAAAGCGGTCTGCGTCCGTCTCCCGAGCTCTAGGGTTAGGGCCACGGTTGGTTTCAAGTTTTACGGATTTCAGGGGTTGAGCTTAGGGTTTGGGGTCTTTCTTGGTGTTCTTCCTGAGGATTGAAGTCCAGAAAAGTCTGGGGAAATGAAAGGGTTTCAGGTTGGTGGGTTTCGAGATGTTCGGAGGCTGGGGCTTTGTGGATTTAAGGCCATGGCCCCTCCGCACCCCAAAACCAGCACGACCTGTCAACGGAAATCCTGGCTTTTAGTAATGATGTGAAAGTCACGAGTCAGCAGATCGTCTTGGAAAACACGGATGCACATACATGTGTAGGTAAGGAATCTAGATGGATGCCTAAACTAGACGAACTCTGGACCCTGCTCGTGAGACCCGAATTGACACCCAAATCGGAAATCCAGCTAATCGCTAAACCTTATAGCGGCCCACCACAAACCCGGTTGAAACTAGGAATGCCCGCCCAAAGCCGATAAACCTAAAGCCTAAACCTGGTCAAACCCCGCGCCCAGAAACCCCAAAACCGTTTCGTCTTTGTGCGGCCCACGTTACCAGGGCAAGGGAGGAGACGAGGTTGCCCAAACACTGACCCACCCCGTAGGCGCCTCTCATGGAGTTTCTACTCGGGTTTGGGGGCTTGGGCGTCGGGTTTCGGTCGACTGCTGAGGTTTAAGGCTTCGACTCTTGCAGGGTAATTTGCTTGCTTAAACTTTTCCTAGAGGCCCCCTTGAGGGATTGTTAGTTTTAGGCTTTGGGGCTTGAAGCGCTGGGAGTGGGGGGGCAACTACAGGCACAGAACCTTGAGGCTCGAGTTAAGAGGGTTCACAGATCGAGGCTTACGGTCATGAAAGGATTTCTGGAGGGGGAGGGGGGGTGCGAGAAGCTAGCGGTGCAAGTATGGTCGCAGCAAGAAGGGCCCGACTGAGCGGTGCCCAGTGAAGACGAACGACGCCAAGCGACGCCGAGTGAACACGACTGATGCGAGTGAAAGCAAGCGACGCCTCGCTCATCTTCGCTCGGCGTCACTCGTCTTCGCTCATCTTCGCTTGACTTCACTCGACTTCGCTCGGTTCAGTCGCTCGTTTTCGGTTGTTCGATTGCGTCTTCGCGAGTCTGCGCGGATTGCCGCACGACCGCGCCACCGATGGAATCGAGGTTGCCAAGCAAGTTTTGGATTGCGGCACAATCCGTATAATATGTATACGCCGCCTATGCCGTCACCGCAAATAATCGAAATATACCTTCTCAGCCACTGCGCGGGGCGATGCCCTAAAACCCAAACCATAAACACCAAACCCACAGAGCCAACCAGTCCCTGAAGCCAAGGCCCGCAAAAACACCCTGAACCCTCCAAGGCGCCCCGAAAGCGCAAAGGGCCCCCCCTGGGCCTTGAACAGCTGTCTGCAGGTTCAGCATCTCGTGCCCCGGTGTCATGGCGAAGGCGAGGAAACCTTAGGTTGAGGGCGTTACGGAAGAGGCCCAGGGTTCAGTGCGACTTTACGGTTGCCTGGGGACCTTTCTGCCCTCCCGTATAGAGCGTTCCAAGGGGCCGCCAAAGAGGATGCCGAGACCTGCAAAGCAGCCCGCAAAGCTCCTGCGGGCTTAAGCCATGCTTGAATTTGTGGGTACAATATACAAAAGTATAATTGCCTAAAGTGTGCTTAGGATAAGAGACGAAAGCTGTACAAGATGTGGCTATGTGCTAGCCATATGTTCAAACTTTACTTAGAGCCAGGGGCCTGTTTGTAGGTGTCTGGGACCCGGAATACATGGAATCATTTGGCTAAGCGGAGCGTAGCCATGCTTACCCAGAACATACGGTGAGGGTTCTCAACCCACGGATCGTCTGGTATTCTTCAGCTTGTTGCGGTCAAGGCTTTGGGGCTCAGGAATCTAGACTCTGTCAAAGGAGGCTCCAGGACCTTGGTCCTGAGACCCTAAATGCTAGAACCGACCGTGGAACCCCTGATGCCAGAGTTTGGGCAACTCACCTGGACAGGATCAGGCAGTACCACCGCGCCGTGTCCGACAACGGAACACAGAGTGCAATGACAAAGAGGGTGTGGAACCTGAATTTACATAAGGCTGAAGGGAGCTTTTAGAGCTTAGAGTTCGCAGTTCGGGGCTGGGCAGCTTGTCAGGTTCACGATTAGGTGACCTACGTGGCAGCGAGCCTAACCCTAAACCCCAAACCCTGAACCCTAAACCCTTGATTTCAAGCAAAAATCTGCACCCTCGGAAAACACTTGGACCCAAGCTGCCGCATGGGCTCCGGATATCTACAAATACAGAGTATATGCTAGTATCCCTAGAAATACAGAACAACGAAAAACATATTGAAATATGATATACTTCCGTACTTGTACGCAAGTAGGGTGGCATTTTGGGCGTTGCAGCATGCTTCTTTGTAGAGGTATTACACTTGCGAACAGTCCCAACCGGACCGAGATGGAACCGAAGGCGTTGTCTTTGA